GGCTTCTCGGGACAGGGTACATGAATGAATCGAATCAACACCGGAAAGAGAAGGGATTCCAGAGACTGTTCTGGTATGGGACGGTACAATTGGGAATGACTTATAAGAATTAATTGACACTACCTATACTAACAACATACATCTACTTTTCGGTAGCCCGGAACGGAAGAACTCCATAGTTAAGCGTGCTTGACTTGGAGCAATTCTGGGATGGGTGACCTTATGAGAAGTTTTCCCGGGAAGTGTGCGAGTGAGGACAAAGCATGCTGAAAAGTCTCGTGTTAGTGTGTGGGGATAGTGGTTGATCCTTGTAAGTTGCCAGACGTTACAAAGTGGTATCAGAGCAGAGCCTCTCTTCCAGTACGGTGTGGTTCGAGGACAAACCAGGCGGAAGCTGGTGGGCATGTAACATATCGGGCGCTGACGAGGGCGGGGAGTGATCGCCGGTGCGAAAGGGCACAAACAAGGAGCGGCTCTTGGCAGGCTTCTAGGGACGGGGTTACATGAATGAATCGAATCAACACCGGAAAGAGAAGGGATTCCAGAGACTGTGCTGGTATGAGACGGTACAATTGGGAATGACTTATAAGAATTAATTGGCACTACCTATAAGATGCACCTACTTTTCGGTAGCCCGGAACAGAAGAACTCCATAGTTAAGCGTGCTTGACTTGGAGCAATTATGGGATGAGTGACCTTCTGGGAAGTTTTCCCGGAAAATATGCGAGTGAGGACAAAGCACGCTGTAAAGTCTCATGTTAGTGTGTGGGGACAATGGTTGATCCTTGCAAGTTGCTAGGCGTTACACATATTCTCTAAATTTGATTCTAAAAGTAAAAAAAAGTTATAACTTTTTATTTTTATTTTTTACAAAATAGGTCTTATTATATATATATTTTTGAAAACTTTTAAAAACAATATTCAAAGAGAGCCTTGATTTTGATTCGAGTTTTTTTTTTATGATATTTAAATTGATTCATTATTTTATAACTAGTGAATTTCATAATTATTTAAACTTTGAACCCTTTTGAATATGGGAGAATAGCTTACCAAGCTATTCTCCTGTTGTGAGACATAAAAATTATTCCTTTTAATTTTTTAATATATTTGTAAGAAAAAAAAGATGGCCCACATGTGTCCGTGTCTGTTGCATTAGTAGAAAGACTTTCTGCAAGAGAAGATCTATAATTCCCTTTGAATATTGTTTGAATCCAACTTCTTGAAATAGAGTCTTGATTCCAATTTACTTCCCAGTTCCCATAGCTTAAGACGTAAGCGAGGACGTCATCATTATTGTCATTATTTACTTGATAAAATTGCATTTGTCTTTTCTCATTTGCCATTTGATTTTTTGATTAAGAAGAATTAGCAAAACTTATTAATAATTAGGCTACGGCACATTTCACGTAAAAGTATAATATTTGTGAAAATTTTAATGTCTATATAAATATTTATTAGGTAATATATATATATATATATATATATATATATATATATATACATATATAATCTCTTTTCATTTATAATATTTTTTAACCAAATTTTAACAATTTAATTTCAGACAATCTGATAATTATAATTTATTAATAAATATAACCCAATAAATTATAATTATCAGATTGACAAAAATTTCTATTTATTTAATTATAAGAAATTATGAGCGAATATATATATATATATATATATATATATATATATATTATATATATATATATATATATGTACGCTCGTTTTAATGATTTCATTAAAATGCTTAATTGTTGACTCCGAAATGCATAATGTAATGTAATTTGTCTCTTATCAATAAGTGTTACTTTAATATATGTATGCTCGTTTTAATGATTTTACATTAAAATGCTTAATTGTTGACTACGAAATGCATAATAATGTAATGTAATTTGTCTCTTATCAATAAGTGTTACTTTAAAAATATATGGTATTAAATTAAGAGATTAATATTTTTCATATTGCATAAAATAAATTCTCTTATATATATATATATATATATATATATATATATATATATATATATATATATATATATATAGAGGATTCATGTAGAATCATATAAAAAGAAGAGAAGAAAAATATAGATTTTATATATTTTTATGCATATATAAAAAATAAAATTATTTTAATATAACAACCTTTAATCCCTTAGATTAATGACCATGATTTTGCCAAAGAAAAAAACAGAAGCGGAAAATGACAGCTCACATTGCACTCAAGTTATTTGATATCGGCTATCAAAAAAAAAAAAAAAAAGCTATTTGATATCCTTATGATTTCAGGGTGTGAATATTAAATTCATTTTTTTTTTTTGATAACAATTAAATTCATTTTTAGGAAATAGAGTTGTTGGTTTAATGATAAGTGTTGTCAATTATAACTCACATGTTCTAGAATCAAATTCGTATTTTTTAAGTATTTTGTCCAAACTTTCACGAAATCGATTTTTTAAAAAAATTGATGTCGGGTTAACATTGCTTAAATCCAGTTTAGGACCGATTCACTAATTTCATATCTGATCAAATACATAACTAGTCTAACACTTAAATTGAACCGATTTGAAATCTGATTTATGGGTCAACCAATCAAACTAGTCGATCGGGTCCATTTTTATAATACTCACCCTTTTATTAATACTTATATCACTGGAAGTGTTCAATTTTTAGATTAATTTTTGTTTATATCTTTTCGGGTTGCTAATAGCTTTGATTAATTATGACTATTCAACACCAACAACTTTTTAGACTTAATTTTTTTTTTTTTAAAAGAAAAGATAACTTATTTCCCCAATTCAAAGGATATCATAATATAAAAAGGGGTTCGCTTTTTCTGCAGTTACTGCAGATAAGTTATCTGCAGTAAGCTAATACGATGTCGTTTTGGGACGAAAATCATGGTATTTTTGTAATTTTAATTTATTTCAGGGTTATAATAGTCTTTATATTTATAATTTTTTAAGATTCCAATACCAAAACGACGTCGTTTTGATAATAAATGCAGATAACTTATCTGCATTAACTGCAGAAATATTTTTCCATATAAAAAAATATACAAAAATCACAATACCTGAATACATGATGAATTTCTTATCCGGGGACGTAGCCACATGGTGCTTGTAATGATACAGAGAAATTTGAATTGACCCTTTAGAGTTATATATTTTTTCTTTGACTCCCCCATTTTATTTATATTATAGGTGTGTCAATTTGATTGGGTCATTTCGACTGATCATTTGAATTCGTCTAAGTGAGCTAATTAAGTCAATTTTGCAGACTATAATGAGTTAATTATTACTCAAAAGATAAATTATTAATGTAATTAACCTTTCAAGATTAGAAAAATAAAAATAAGAGAATGAAGCATTTCTTTTACTATTCTTCAAATAAATGTTGGTAGATTGTGTATTTTATTATACTTACCCAATTCAGAGTATCATTTACTTTTATTTTTTTGCATTTTTTCATTTACATAATCAGATTTTTAAAAAAAATTATTTTATATACTTTATTTGTTTAAATTATATTAATTTTTTTAATTAATTTATATTAATATTTCATCTTTAATCATTACTCGAAAATAAAAAATATTTATAATTTTTGCTGGACAGAAAAATTTATTTCAAATTAATACTTAGATAAACTTAATTTTTTTATTAATATAGTAATTAATTACGATAATTTAAAATTATGACTTGATCCAACCAGCTGCATGTCAGCCTATGTCAAGTTGGGTTAAATTAATTAGGCCGAAAATACAATTTATTTTGTACTTTAATTTTTTTTGACACCGACTAACCTAAATTAGAATGAACAAAAGTTATTTAACTTTAATGTCATTAACTCAACTCATGCATGTATTTTATCAAATTATTTAAGTAGATCATGCATGATCGTCAGGTCCCGCGACTTGCTAAAGCTTCTTGAACAGGAGGACCATTCAGAAACAGGAATATTATATAGAAGGTATTTGATTTTTTTTATTAAAATATACTTTTAATGATAATTATAAAAAGTAACATTATTTTTATTCTATTCCTTTTTTTAATTTTGTGAATAAAATAGTAAAATAGTGGTACAATATATCACAAATCATTTTCCATGAAAATCATTTCGAATGCGGTTGTTTTTCAACCAACAAAAATGCTTATATATAAATAATTACCTTTTTAATATATTTAATCCGCTTACCTTTTTTCTCCGTGCTTATTTTTAATACACGTACGTAGTTTTTCTTTTTTCCTTTTACTAGTGATCATCTAAACATTTGGAAAAAATATTTTTCTTTTTTAATCCACATATTCAAAAACTTATCTTTTTATAAATTATAAATTAGAACCAGTCTATTACAATTTATAAGATTGATGTTCCAATCGAAATGTGTAGCAAAAGATCCTAAATTCGGGCTCTGCTGATTGGCTGAATCAAATTATACATCACTTTCGTTAGGTCGTACTGTTGTCATAATGGGCATCTTAATTGGATTTAACTAGATTGCGGGGATGGAATAAAACTAGTATGTATGTATACAAGCTATAATAAATTACAATAATAAAAATAGTATTTATTTATTTTAATTATTTAAAGAAGAAAGTAATTAACTTTTTAATTTTTTCTTGATATATTTATGCTTTTAATTTTAATTTTATAATTTCCGTATTTGATTTTTTTAATTTATCTCTAAGTGTCTAAATTAAAAACTCATAACTTTATTGAAAAGTGCATGATCTGGTTGAGCTGTCTCAAGGAGGTCAGGTAACGCATAACTTTTTTATTCTAATAAAAACAAAAGAGTGTTTATAGATAATAGTATTGAATATCAATATCTTAAAGTGGCATAACATTTTTCTTTGTTTTGTCATTTCCGAGAAAATTAGAGAAACATATACAATGATCTTTTATATTAGTATGGCCCACATTACAATGCCTACATATAGGATATAGTGCAAGAAGATGGATACATGCATTGACAACATCGGTCTTAATTAAGTAGATATGGAGGTAGAGAATAGCATTAGAGGCAATGGCGACAAGGTCGAGAAAGAAGAGGAACTTGTCGATAAGAAGAGGAAGCAATATCGACGAGGAGGAATCAGAACATTACCTTTCATCCTTTGTGAGCCATCACAACTCTTTCTCATTATTTTACTTTTGTTTAACTTGCTAGCTAGCTTTTATAACTTCTGCAGATTCATTTCCTACTGAATCTCCTCATTCTTGACATTGTGTTGTTCAATCTATTTGTTGGTTGGACATGAGAGAAAGAGATTTTGAGTCATATATATTATATGAAGAGTGAAAAAATTAAACAGAAGATTAAAAAGTAAATCAGTGATGATGAATCTTTCTAATTTTAAGGATAGATAAATAAAAAATAAAAAATTCTTAAGACAAGTTAAAATCCAATGTCTGTTAGCTGTGACTGAGATTCTCTAACTGCCTAGCTAATGAGTGAAGATATTTCACACACAAAAAATGTTACACCATTTTTAAGCTTTGCTTATTTGGGAAAAAAGATGGTGAGATTTTGTGTTAAAAGGTGTATTTTTTAAAAACAAAATTATAAAAAAATAAAGTAGTGTAAGGACGTTATAAGTTTTTTGTTACCGCCTTTTATTAATTAATTGAAAATATAACAATTATGTTGCAGAAATGGTATTGTTCATTCCTGTAACTATTTTTTGGCTATGTACTCCGTAAAGTACATAGTTAAAAAAATAATTTTAATATTATATGTACTTTCTGAAATACATAGTTAAAAAATGAGTTGCAAGATGTATGTAACAGGACATCCGATGAACCCTTAATTAATTAGTATTATTAGAGAAGAGAATGAGTACTAACTACTAAGTTTGACTTGAAAATCCAGCCATTTCTTATATATATATATATATATATATATATATATATATATATATATATATTCCATATCTTCAACCTGCATAGCTCTCCCTTTACAATTTATGCATAAGATCGCTAAGAGTGGCGCAAAGAATATGACAATATGTAATGACCACAATTTCTGTATTAAAAGAACTACAAAAACTGTCTGTGCAGCACTGTCCACTGTCCATTTGAATATTCTCTAGTTGCATATGCTAGGAATTAATGCATCATTTGATGTGTGTTTTTAAAATGACAATGTCATGTGCTGAATCTTAACTATTCATTGACATATCAACATCAAAATTTTATAGATGTAATTCATAAAGTGAAAATTATCATTTTAATTGCAGATTTAACCAATAACATAATAATGTTGAAAAGAAACATAGAGGATGCATTCCCCATGTTCTGTGATCTGTATGAGCGAAGTTAATTTGGACTTGTTGGGTGTTGTGCATATATATGCAGCAAATGAATTATGTGATAGATTTGCGAGCGCTGGTTTTCATGCAAACATGATAAGCTACCTTACTCTAGAGCAAAACATGCCATTGGTATCGGCCTCCAACACTATCACCAACTTTGCAGGAGTATCTAACTTCACTCCTTTACTTGGTGCTTTCATTGCTGACTCCTATGCTGGCCGATTTTGGACCATCACTGTTGCTACTTTCATCTATGAACTGGTTTTTTATCCTCTCCTCTATCTTCTCTCTCTCCAATCTAATTCACTCTCTATCATAGTCAACTTTGGATATTACTCTCAATTTTAAAAAATTTCTTAGTTAAGTTTAAGATGTTAGAATAAACATCTACTTAGGGATATATAGTAAATTTGTAAAAAATTTAATTTTTTACTTTTTGTCTAAAAAACTGAGGCTGGTCATACTTATATCACTTCTTAATACCATCTCTATTACCATTGGATTAATAGAAAAGTTGAGTGGAAGGTTGCAAATGTTGGATCTAAATTTGATATTATGATTATAGATAATAAGTATAACCGGATTCAAAATCTTTAAAATATAGGTTATGTAATTTTAGCATGAATTAATAAAAAGAATGACGTTAGAAATGTAACTAATACCACCACTTACTACCATTCATTTTTTTTTTAATCTTGTTAATTAAGATTAAACTCAATTTAGTTTCTAATTTAGATTTTAAAACTCTAGAAGTTCAGACATATCTGATCTCTATGATCTCAATCTGAAACAGTTTTGAATCCAAATGAAAAGATTTGGGTGTGAGCCTTTTCCATTTTAATACTAAACCTAAATCTGCTATACTCTTCTGCTTGATACAGGGATTGGTTATTATAACTGTATCAGCTACTCAGCCCCATATGCACCCCCCACCATGCCCAACTCAAGTGAATTGTCAAGAAGCCACATCCTCACAGCTATGGATACTATACCTCTCTCTCCTCCTCATATCTCTTGGCACAGGTGGAATTAGACCTTGTGTTGTGCCCTTTACAGCTGACCAAATTGATATGACAAAAAAAAGTGTGGAATCTAGGAAGTGGAACCTCTTCAATTGGTACTATTTCTGCATGGGCTTGGCTTCTCTAAGTGCTTTAACCATTGTGGTTTACATTCAAGATCATATTGGTTGGGGCTGGGGCCTTGGGATTCCAACCATTGCCATGCTTATATCTCTCTTCTGCTTTGTGTTGGGCTCACCACTCTATACGACTGTGAAACCTGAAGGGAGCCCTTTAGTTCGTTTGGCCCAAGTAATTGTGGCATCTGTAAAGAAGAGGAAGGAAACCTTGCCAGAGGATCCCAAGCTTTTGTACCAAAATAGGGAGCTTGATGATGCTATTTCTTTGGAAGGAAGGCTTTTACACTCAGATCAATTTAGGTAAGTCTAAGTACAAAAATATTCGGTTCTTAATGTCCACCAAAAATATAGTTTTTGGTATAATCATTTACTAACACAATTCTAGGCTACAAGTGTTGGCTAGGTAAAACTCTCTGAATTATATGCTTAATAAAGTCCATTATAATTAATAATTTCACATTGATTGCATGAACTGATAAATTAGCAAGAACTAAGTAGATTTTACAAACCTTATTATATATGCAAGTATGTTGATAATTTCGTGGCTTAATTTGCATTTGCGCATGAGTTTATATGTGCAGATGGTTGGACAAGGCTGCAATAGTAACAGAGGAGGAGGCCAGAGATCCAAATGCACCACCAAAGTTATGGAAATTAAGCACTGTCCATAGAGTTGAAGAGTTAAAATCTCTCATTAGAATGCTTCCTATTTGGGCAACAGGAATTTTGCTCATGGCTTCGGTATCACACCAGCAGAGTTTTGTCATTCAACAAGCTCGCACAATGGATCGTAACCTCTCACACTCATTCCAAATTCCACCAGCTAGCATGTCTATTTTCAGTGTGGTAACTATGTTGGTAGGCATTATTCTATACGAACGCCTTTTTGTTCCCTTTGCTCGTAGGTTCAGTGGGAACCCTTCTGGAATCACATGCCTACAAAGAATGGGAGTAGGCTTTGTGATTAACATTATAGCCACATTAGTTTCAGCACTGGTTGAAATCAAAAGGAAAGCAGTTGCTTCCAAGTACCACTTATTGGATGATCCAAAAGCCATTATTCCTATTAGTGTGTTCTGGTTGGTACCACAGTATTGTCTGCATGGAGTGGCTGAAATTTTTGGGATTGTTGGGCATTTGGAATTTCTGTTTGATCAGTCACCTGAAACTATGAGAAGCAGTGCTACAGCTCTCTATTGCATAACTACAGCTATTGGGAACTTTGTTGGTACTTTAATTGTGTCACTAGTTCACAAGTATACTGGCAAGGAAAGGAATTGGCTACCTGATAGGAACCTCAATAGGGGTAGATTGGAGTACTATTACTTTCTTGTTAGCGGGATTCAAGTTATAAATCTCATTTATTATGTAATATGTGCTTGCTTTTACACTTATAAGCCCTTGGAAGATATTAGTGAGATAAACAAGCAAGATGACCAGGAACATGCCAATGAAAAAATAGCATCTGATGTTGTTGATTGAATGAAGAAGAGAGAATTTACAGAAGATGAATGGATTTAAATTTCTATTTTCTCCAATTATCTGAGTTGCCTCCATGCGTCGTTAGCTTATATATTCTGCATATATATAGGGTTAAAAAGTTTCTTCAAACTCGAGTTTAAACTGAAGTGATGGCATGTGATGATGTGATTGTGGTATACCTTTTTTCTAATATTGTCTATGTGAGGATATATATTTGACATAGGCTCTTCCCAATTCCCATGCATATATATAATATATCGTAATTCTAGAAATAATTTTATAAGATCCTAATAATGGTGATTATCATTGCTATTTTTTGTGCACTATCTTATTTAATAAGTGTAGTAGAGACCTCATTTTTTTATTTAAAAAAGACGAGGGCAAATCTCATTCTAGAAGGTTTTTCAATTTCGCTAGGTGAGTGAAAATCAATTATATGCGGCCTTACTTTGTACACTTGAATTGTGGTCTTTTATGTAAGGTCCGACCGTTTCAAGAATCAATAACTATTCCTATATATTAATATAGTGTGCTTTTTTTCCACTCGCACACTTCTTAAGAAAACTTCTCAGGAGGTCACCCATCCCAGAATTGCTCCAAGTTAAATACGCTTAACTATGAAGTTCTTCCGTTACGGGCTACTAGATGCATCTTATCAGTATAGGTAGTACCAATTAATTCTTATAAGCTATTCCAAACTATGTTGTCCCATACCAGCACAGTCTCTGGAATCCCTCTCTTTCGGATGTTGATTCGATTCATTCATGTACTCTAGCTGCAAGCACTTTGGACGTTACACTTTATTTATTAAAAAAAGAAAACCTTACCACTGTTTCAATATATATATATATTTTATATAGAATTATGTTTATCTCATTTTACCTGAGATAAACAACTTTCCTACACACAAAAAAAGGTTGGGTCCGATCCCATCATTCTTTTTTCTCTCTTCTCTTACCTGTGGGTCCCTCTTATAATTTTATTTCTACAATATGAGGTAACTATTTTTCTACAACATAAGAAAAGTATTTCCGTTTTTAATTATATATGTATATGAGAGCTAAAATTGTTTATTGATGTGTTTTTCATGCAAAAGGGTAACTTAGGAGAGCAAGAAGAAATTATCATCCGAAAATATTTGTTCGGGCACATGAATTTATAGGAATTTTCGCACAAATAAATACATAATGGTGGGATCCATGTGACTGCTCCAACAAATATTTGTTCGGACATCTTATGGAAATATGTTATATTTTAATTAATTTTTAAGGTTGTTCAACAACTTGTAGATATGGATGGAATTTTCGCATTATCCCATAATCCTCAATGAAAATTTGAACCAATCTTAGAAGAATTAAAATTAAAAACCACATTTACCTTTATAAGTATTTTAAATATTTATATAATAAGTAATCATAATTTTAAAATTAATCCACCATCTTGTTTAAATATAAATTAGAAAACATATTGATGATAAACATTAAATTAATATTTTCATGTTAAGTTAGAAATGATGTTTATAATTAGGCGAAGGAAACAATCGGAAAGGAATGGATAAAGTGAGCCTAAATTGGGAACAGTAACTATTTTGTCACATTTTTATAAAAAATATTGTGATATATAAAATCATTAAGCTTTTGGGTGAGGCTACATTAATAATTTTGTATATCTCAACACGTCCCCTCACCAGAGAGCCCACTAGGTTTGAAGGGTGGACAATGCATATATAGGCCCACCTACCTGTGTGAAGAAAGAAATTTTACTAGAAAGAAAGTAGGGGACGGTGAGGATCGAATCCGATACACCGAGACTGTGATACCATGTAAAGAACCAATTCAATCCAAAAACTTAAAATTTATTCAATAGTCACGCGAATAGTAACTCTTGAGATTGTAACTCTTCTCTAAGCTCTTGATCATCAAGATCTTCTTCTTCAAGCTCTTCTTCACACACTTCAAGTCTGAAGCAATCATTCTGATCAGTTGAGTTTTTCATAGCATCAAAAACATTGATGGTGATTTTCTCATCGTTCATCCTCAGCTCGAGCTTCCCTTGCTCGACATCAATCATGGCCCGAGCTGTGGCTAAGAATGGTCTGCCTAATAGAAGGGGTATTTCACTTTCTTCCTCCATGTATAGCACAATAAAATCAGCAGGGAAAATGAACTTGTCAACTTTAACAAGAACATCTTCTATGATTCCATTAGGTCTCCTCAAAGAACGGTCAGCAAGCTGTAGAGAGACCATAGTGGGCTTCAACTCAGAAATTCCCAATGATTTGCAGATTGACAATGGCATCAGATTGATGCTTGCTTCAAGATCGCATAGTGCTCGGCCAACATTGGTGTTGCCTATCGCAATCGGGATATTGAAACTCCCAGGATCGCGAAGCTTTGGTGGAAACTTCTTCTGTATAATGGCACTGCACTCCTCAATAAGTGCTACTGTCTCACATTCCTGCAACTTATGCTTTCTAGACAATAAATCTTTCATAAATTTAGCATAATTAGGCATGTTAGCTAAAGCTTCAGCAAAAGGAATATTTACTTGCAACTTTTTAAACATATTTAAAAACCTGGCATATTGTTGCTTCTGTGCTTGTTGCTTGAGCTTCATAGGATAAGGAAGTTTCTCAAAACGAGAGAAATCCATTGGCTGCTTCAGAGCTTCAACAACTTTCTCTTTTTCCCCCCCTTTGTCCTGCCTTGCAAGTTCTTCTTTCTCAGTTGCAAGCGTGTCTACCTCCTTTTCTTGTTCTGGCTCGATCACTGGTTTATCAACCTTCGCTTTCTGAACGCCTTTTTGCTTGTCTTGAGGAGTGATCACACTTACACTCCTGGTTACAATAGATTTGCAGTCTTCCTTAGGATTCACAATAGTATCTCCAGGAAACTGCCCTTGAGTTCTTTCAGCCAACTGCCTAGACAACTGGCCTATCTGACTCTCCAAGTTCCGGATGGAAGCATCCTGGTTCTTGTGGTAAGCCCTTGTCTCATTAATGTGATCATTAGTTGTCTTGGACAGTTGTATCATTGCTTTCTCCAACTCAGATGGCTCTTTTTGTGGCAGAGGAGGAGGTTGCAGATAGTTGTTGGATTTATAATCCAAGCCACTCCCTTGGTTCCTCCTTTGAAAGTTATTCCCTTGACCGCCATTCTGATTCCTTGGGTAACCTTGAGTATTCTGGGGAGGCCGTGGATCATACCAAATTCCATTGACCTGGAATGGTTCAACTTTATTAAGTGTAGGGCACTCATTAGTGTTATGCGACTCCTTGCAATACTCACAGTTAAATATATCAACCTTGGATGTTGAGAGCTGCATCTTGTCCAGCTTGGCATTCAAATTAGCCAATTGCTGGGAAATCACTTTGTTCTCAGCTAGTGATGCATCATTATTCCCCAATTGTAAAATTCCTTTCTTGGGCTGAATAGATGGGAATGCTGCTGCCATAGACGCATTCTCATTCCTTGCCATTAAATCCAGCAGCTCTAAAGTCTCATCTGTTGTCTTCTTTCCTATGGTGCCACCAGCTGCACCATTGACAATCATTCTGCATTCTGGCGTCATCCCATTATAGAAGACTCTGACCTTCTTTGTATCTGGCAAGTCATATTGTGGACACTTTCTGATCAGCTCCTGGTATCGAGTTCAGGCTGCACATAAAGTCTCTCCTGGTTGTTGGGTAAAATTGGTGATTTCATTCACCAACTTATTGTACTTTTCCATGGAAAAGTGTTCAGCAAAAAATTTAGCCGCCAAATCCTCCCATGTTCTGATGCTATTGGGAGCTTGTCGATCCAACCATTTGAGAGCTCTCCCGGTCAATGCAAACGGGAACAATCGGAGTCTGATCGCATCGTCTGACACTCTGTTGTGTTTAGTTGTATCACAGATCCTTAAAAATCTGTCTATGAAGTCATGAGGATCTTCATAGTCCTCTCCACCAAACTGCGTTTTCTCCACCAAGGTGATGAGTGCTGGCTGGATGTCATAATTATTAGCAGCAATCGGTGGTTTGACAATACTCGAGTTTGGCCTTGTGAATTGAGGAGCCAAAACTGATTCCATCAGCTCAGCTGCTGGTGGATTTTCTTCTGCCATCTCTGTTTCTACTTCAACGTGTAAAGTAGGATTTTCTGCTTCAGAATGTGAAGTAGAAGCCTCTGCTTGCCTCTTCCTTTTGGTATGTTGTCTTATCCTCTTTGCAGTCCTTTCTATCTCTGGATCGTAAATCAAAGTTGCAGGATCAACTGTACCACGCATAAACTAAAGCAAACAGATTAGTAACACAATGATCCAAGCAAGAAAATCAAAAGTTATAAATAACTTGGCGTAATCAATCCCTGGCAACGGCGCCAAAAACTTGATGCGTGAAATCGGCAAGTGCACCGATCGTACCAAGTAATAAAGAGTGAGTAGAGTATCGTCTCCACGAGGATTGAGGCACCTAAGTTGTTATAACTATTCCTCTCTTGTTGGATTAATCAAAATAGGTTGAGAATGATTGTAGTTCATGAAACAAACTAAAATAATTAAAGTAAAAATGTAAATGATTCCAAAAGTGTTTTCAGAATGCAAGAACAAAAGATTAAGGATTGGGAAAATATTTGAGAAAATATTGCGGTAAAGAGAAACAAACACCTTTCTGATTCCCACCTTGCAACTTGGATTACGTTTATATTTACCTATTCAATTGATCGAATAATTCATCATCTTTTATATGAGTAGTTAAGCCCTAATCCCTTAGTGACTGTAACCTTGTTAACTCTATTAGAATCCTAATCCCTTAGAAATTCCTTTTCGAGTTAACCCTTAGAATCAATGAACCTTTAACGTTCACTATTCATATAGCCTATCCCTAGTGCGTACATGAACAATTATCTTATTCTTTGTCAGGAATTAGAATTCCAACATCCCTATTGTAAACCCTAACCCTCGCAACCCTACTAGATTGATCAGTTCCAATAGAATTATAGAATGAAGAACAAGAAAAGATAAATGCAATTAAAATGGATAAACATAAATTTCAACCAAGGTACAAGGGGTTCACATCAAGGGTTGTGACCCTTACCACAATGATAAAACTAGCCAGACATGTTCATGTCTGACAAAATAACAATAAAAGAAAGTAGCATTTAAAACCTAGAAGAGAAAGGGAAGATGAAGATCTTCCGTCTTGATCGATCGAACCCTTGAATTTCCGAGAAGCTCCAAGGAATCTCTGCTCTATTTGTTGTTTTTCTCTCCTTGATTCTCCAAAAGTCCCTTTCCCTTATGTTTCTGATCCTTTTATTAGGTTTTGGGAAAACCTATTTCACTTTGCACTCTAATTGGGCCTTATTTTAGCTGATTCGCACTTAAAAATATATCGCCTGCGCACGGGGCGCCAAGCCTGGCGCCCCAAACTTGGGCGAAACAGAAGCTGAATCTGTAAACGGCGCCCCGGGCGCCAACTCTGGAGTGCCGCGCGCCAGTACCGCGCTCCGTGCGCGACCCAAACAGAAGCAAATCGTCGATAAAGCGCCCGGTGCGCCAGGTACCGAGCCCCGTGCGCCAGTTTGGCGCGTCGTGCGCCAACCTCTGCGCATCGTGCGCCAGATGGAAATTTGGTTTCTCCGTTTTTGCTCCTTTGTGCGGCGTTTCATGCTATTTAACATATAACTTGAGTGAGAGCATGATTGAGAAGGAATAATCAATATTTCTTGCATTTAATGACTATTTTCATACATTTATGATTAATTCCTTGCTTCTTTTAAGTTAGAAAACATCATCTGCTAGACTCACATCAGTCACCCATCCCAGAATTGCTCCAAATTAAATACGCTTAACTATGGAGTTCTTCCGTTACGGGCTACTAGATGCATCTTATCAATATAGGTAGTACCAATTAATTCTTATAAGCTATTCCAAACTATGTTGTCCCATACCAGCACAGTCTCTGGAATCCCTCTCTTTCGAATGTTGATTCGATTCATTCATGTACTCTAGCTGCAAGCACTTTGGACGTTACACTTTATTTATTAAAAAAAAAAACCTTACCACTGTTTCAATATATATATTTTATATAGAGTTATATTTATCTCATTTTACCTGAGATAAACAACTTTCCTACACACAAAAAAAGGTTGGGTTCGATCCCATCATTCTTTTTTCTCTCTTCTCTTACCTGTGGGTCCCTCTTATAATTTTATTTCTACAATATGAGGTAACTATTTTTCTACAACATAAGAAAAGTATTTCCGTTTTTAATTATATATGTATATGAGAGCTAAAATTGTTTATTGATGTGTTTTTCATGCAAAAGGGTAACTTAGGAGAGCAAGAAGAAATTATCATCCGAAAATATTTGTTCGGGCACATGAATTTATAGGAATTTTCGCACAAATAAATACATAATGGTGGGATCCATGTGACTGCTCCAACAAATATTTGTTCGGACATCTTATGGAAATATGTTATATTTTAATTAATTTTTAAGGTTGTTCAACAACTTGTAGATGTTTTAGACTTGGATATGGATGGATTTTTCGCATTATCCCATAATCCTCAATGAAAATTTGAACCAATCTTAGAAGAATTAAAATTAAAAACCACATTTACCTTTATAAGTATTTTAAATATTTATATAATAATTAATCATAATTTTAAAATTAATCCACCATCTTGTTTAAATATAAATTAGAAAACATATTGATGATAAACATTAAATTAATATTTTCATGTTAAGTTAGAAATGATGTTTATAATTAGGCGAAGGAAACAATCGGAAAGGAATGGATAAAGTGAGCCTAAATTGGGAACAGTAACTATTTTTTCACATTTTTATAAAAATTATTGTGATATATAAAATCATTAAGCTTTTGGGTGAGGCTACATTAATAATTTTGTATATCTCACTACAAGAAAAACGATAGATAATGGCTGTGTCTTCACGTCGTTTGGAAAAACCGCCCTTAACTCAATCAAATAGTTAATGAACGCTTAAGTAACTCATATCACACACTATTCAGCCTTTATGCTTTTCTCTCATCTCTCTCTCTTTCTCTCTCTCTTCTCACCGAGCTGTTCATTTCACGTGCTCATCAAACAATCCAACATTCATTGAGGACTTAATGCTGCGAGTAGCCTTTATGCATTTTTTGTTGAAGACTTCACAATGTACAGTGCGAGTAGCTCAACGATGATGGCTTGTGATGGAAGCATTTGAAGAAGAATGTATAGCAACTTCAATAGGGGAGAAAAGGGGGTTTAGGGTTTGGAGATAGTTATGGACATGTTTTACTGCGTATTCCCTATTCCATTACATTTCATTCACTGTTTCTTCTTTCTTAGGGTTCATTTATTTCAATTCCATTCATTCCTCTATCTAATTGTGAATAATTCGATTTTCTTCCAGGAACTGCACCCGCATTGAGATTCAGTTGCTTTCTCCTCAAAGCTTGCAAGTATTGTCTTCTCTTCTCTTTTGAGTGCACTTTTTACTCACGGGATGATGCTACACTAGTTGTTTTAGAGCTGAATCCTTTTAATGGATTTTTTTTATTATTCCCTGCTCTCTTTTAACTTTGTTATGTTCCTTTTTGAATGAATATTAAATAAAATTGGATTGTTAATATAGAATTTCTCTTAGCAGCCTGCGTTGGACGTGCCAATATATGGAAGGATTGCCATTTAATGTATTATTTATATTCTTGTATTAAAATCATTCTTTTTTTTTTTACTTTTTTTTTCTTGTTTTGGTCTCAAACAGGGTGAAGCACAGGATTATTTTTTTATTGCAACTGAAACATACAAATTCATTTTGGATTGTATGCCTAATTTTTTGTTCTGTCCCTTCTTGTGTGACCATTGTCTACTTAAGTTCATTGTATGCCTAATTTTTTGGATTTTAAACACCTAATACAATGCCTGATCCAACTTCTCAGTTTTCTGTCTATGGAAGCATTTTAATATCCTGAAGGAAAGCACTCAAGGTTATAATACATTCTTCACAAATTTGTGCCAGCTCTTGATATATATTGTCAATAAATTTGATTATTTGCAAAATATGATACAATGCCTTAATTATGATTAAAGTTTAAATTTTTTGAAGTCATTCCATTATTGGATTGAGAGATTAGTCTACAGGGTAACTATAAAAAAAAATAGAGAATTAGTCTACAGGGTAATTATTTTGTGCCACTTTTATTACTTGTAGGACTTGATAACATCTTTAGGCTTCAATCTTTTACATTGGTAAATCTGGATCTGATTTTTTTTAGTTGAAGCATAAAAGGTTATTATGGATGGGAGGATCATAGAAACCCCAGATCTGGTTACAAAGGCACAGGAGAGGAGGATTTGTATTTCAGCTTGCGATGATGGAAATGCAGCAGACACATCGGTTAGTAATGGATCCTTTTTCCTCCTTTACAATGGTTGATGTGAATTAGAATTGAAATGTTTCTGAGAACCAAGACTTTGATTTGTTGATTAGGCCTTTAGTGGCATGGAAAGTGCTGGCGCCTTGACTTACAGTTTCATCCAAGCCATGCAAGATGAACCTAAATTGATCACTTATTGCCGCT